GAACACTGTAATTAGCCGTGTGTTATGCACAGGTAATATTCTACTCGGTGTAGGTATTAACCAATTTCTTCAAAAGACATGCCATACAAAATAATTCCTATTTCTTTATGTTTAATGCATGTAGAAAAACTGGTACAACTTTTTGAGAAAAAAAGAATTGTTAATAAATGTACAAATAACAATAGGAAATGAGAACATATAGTTAGAGTAATTGCCACATCTTTTTGACATGAAAAAAAATCAGTTAGAAATGGAACCATCGAGGGAGGGCGGGGGGGGGGGGGGGGGCTGACCATTTAAAACATGATATATTTTGTAAAAAAGTAATGCGGTATTACTAGGATGTGCAAGTTTTGATCAGAAGGTGAGGACCCTTTAAGCTTACATCTTCAGGATACCATGTTGTTTTGGGTTTATCCATCATGTTTTGTTAACTTGTCTTGTGCCAGGTGTAAACTTTTCATGTTTTAAACTTCTTAAATTTCACCAGCGAGATTAAGCTTAAACATCATGGAATTTTAAGCAAGTGTTGCTATTTTTTTTTTCACGTCGGTCTGAAATCCAATATGGTTGCCATATATGCCATCTTGAATAAAAGCATTTTAAACATTTCTAGTTTCATCATGGATGCCATTGAGCTGAAATTTTGTGGAAATCTTGACAAAATGAAATGATTTTCTTTCAAAATATTCCATGCTGTTTTAACTATTTGATAATTATTCCCACTAGTAATACTTCTACTTCTGTTATATAATTTACAAGTCTGATGTATTCAAATGACCGTTAAAGCTGATGTGCCTCCTATTTTAAATCTTTTGGTGGTAATGTTGTTTACTCTTGTTATAAATAAAAACATGACTTATTTGTGAAATTAGGTGCATTGTTTGAAGGAAAAAAAATTGAAAAATTCCAGGAAGAATGATTGGATTTTACCCAAATTTGGTCTGAAGCCAAATGAATAAACTTTGTTCAGACGATGGGTTTTTTTTAGCTGGAACAGGAGGGGTGAGGCCCAATAAGGAAAATAGAGAAAATTACTTTAAATCCTTCTCCTCCTGTAGGAATGATTGGATATTGCTCAAATTTGGTCTGAAGCATTCTTGGGTAAAGAGAATTAAAATATTGTTTCTTAGCCCCTAGGACCTAAGGAACAGGGCCAGAAAGGGGAAGTTTTACAACTTTCTAGCTCACCTGGCTAAGGGCCAAGATAAGGACAAAAGAAAAAAACATTAAAACAACTCCTTTTTATTAACCAAAAAGCATAGAAGGATATTTAGCTGGTACTGTTGGCTCCTAGAATGAAGCGCAACAGAGGTTGCAAAAAGAAATTTCTTTAACCGATATTCAAGGTCAGAAGGGTAAATTTTTTATTAATATCTTTAAATGACTTGTTTAAAATCTATCTTGTTCTTTAGGAATTACAAGATATTGTCCAAATTTTTCTCCAAAACATGTTTGGGTAATGGAAAATCAGTTCAGTAAAACAATGGGTGTCAGTCTCTTGGGGCCAATGAAAGCAAAGCCATCTCATGTTCATGGGCGGGGCCAAATAAGGGAAATCTATGAAATTCTTTAAAATCTGTTTTGTTCTTTGGGAATGACAGGATATTGTCAATATTTGTTTGAAGCATGTTTGGATGTAGGGAAAGTAATTTTGTATAAATGGTGAGTCTCGGCGCCTTGGGGCCAGATGGGTAGATCCCAACAGGGACAATCTATGAATTTCTTTAAAATCTGTATTGTTCTTCGGGAATGAAAGAGTATTGTCCATATTTTGTACACCCTCCATAAGATGCCCCTTGGAACTGGTGGTCTTTGCTTTTGTTGAGGTAGATATAGGTACCATCTAAGATAAGAATGACCTGATCACCATAAAATACTTTGGTACATACGGTATTGTATGTGACTTGGTGTGATATATGGGCTGTACCAAGGTATCTGGGGACAACTAAAGTGTTCAATATATCAACAATTTTGTGAAAAAATCTTAACAGTGTGGCTATGGAGAGGTTAGTAAGCATGGTCATTTGGTTCCATGACAGATTAGTTTTAAGTTTTACCCCAACATACATAAACAGGTCTATTGCACTTGCACTTGAAGCTGAAAACAAGGTCCGATTCACACATGCCATACATGTCCTTAAATTGACCAAAGGTCAAGCCAGTCCATTGTAAATCTTAATTCTGGGGAATTCTCATGTTTGGTTACTTGATGTACAATTTCAAGCAAATCATTGATCACAACTGAGGAAATTAATCCACTTGATTTACTTAGCATACTTGTTTACTGATTTTTGTATCAGAATGTAGGATGCTTCCTATGAGATGTTCAGAATGTACACAAGCATCAGGAGGACACCGAAGTGAATATTTATGGTTAAGAGAGTGACAAAAAGACTAAGGAATAATTTTACAGTCATCATTATACTCTAAACATAATGAACACTTCCAATGTGATGAGGAAGCATGCTTCAAATCTTATATGAGTAAGAAGTAGAAGTGTAGGGTTTGTTTCATTGTCATTAAGATTATCCTCAGTCTCCTCAAATGAATCGCATGAAACCTTAGAATCATTATTACGCTGAGTGTCGTCCTATACCAGGTACACAATACGATAAAATGTGTACCTGGTGGAAAATTTCACCAGTTCATGGCCTTCAGCTGCTTACCTCAGCTTCAGCTTGAATGTTGTTATTCAAGTAGATATACTGCCTCCTTATTGATTCATTAATAATGCACAGAATGCCACTTTGATATATATTTCATATTTTAATAAACAAGAAGAAGTACAGACCATGTGAGTCTTTTCTGTTTATAATCCAATGAGGCAAAATATGATTTGATATCATTTTCATTTAAAGGCACATAGTAAAAATGAATGAAATTAAAATAAACATATATTTGGATAAAAAATAACATTCTGAATAAAATGTCAGAAATAAGAGTAGTTTACTGTTTCTGCCATCACAAGAAAATCTGTCCTTGGAATTTACTGGTCCCAGAATTTCATGAAATTTTCAATATTTTAGGTACATATATTTGGCCAAAGAAGGTATAAATATTTTAGGTGAACAGTAATGTTAAGGTAGTCAAACAGTTTTCCAAAAACTTGAATTTGTTGAAATTTTTTTTAAAACATTATGATTCTTTCCCAGTTAAACTTCCATAACTTTTTTATATTGGTATTATTTGGCTTTACATTTGAGTTCAAAACATGCAGTAGACTTGAATCAAGAGGATTTGAACCAATTTAGTGGTTTATTATAGCTTTTTGAACAAGTTTTAGAGTAAGATGTGCACCCTGGCTTACACACATGACATGGATCATAAAATAAGTCAAATTACAGGCCATAGGTGAATTTTGGCTTTTTAACATACATTCTTAGAAAAATAATGCAAATAACACACAGTAAAAATTGAATCAGGATGTCAAAATATTACATGTACTGTGAAACAGGTCCTCTGATAAAGCTCTTTGGATGAAACAACTTTCTTTTTTATAAACATTGCATCTAAACCCCCTTGTGGAAGAGTGGAAAGGCCTTCTAGGGGAAAAAGACACAAATTTTCAAATACTTATTTTTTAAAGAAGCAATTTCAGCAAACTAAACCTTACAAGCAAATTTGCTCTATAACAAAAGGCTTTTGTAGATATGATTTCCTTTGAATCTTCACTAATTCTACTATTTTTGTTCCAGGAATGAAGGCTTGACCTACAGTGTTAATGTCATAACCAATGAGTGTACAAATGTCTTGGTAATAGTGGTACATCTACCTGTATTGCCAAAAGGCTATTGCTGATAGTGGTGACACCTGTGTAGCATGTAAGTGTGTATATCTGCACTAACACCGAGGGAGGGTGCTTCCTATGAGATTATGTTTCAACTAATATCAAAGAAATGTATTGATATTTAAACCTTTAACACAACACTTGACTGCTGTCTATGGAGGCATGGTGGTCAAGTGGTAGGACATTGGACTGGTGATCGAAGGGTCCAACACCACTAAATTATTTATGTAATACCCTTTGTTAAAATTTTATGTTCAAAGCATAACTGTGGATGCATAAACATTGGTCATGCAATACAATGTGCAGTATACCGATTACCTACTGTAATCCTTTAAATACAAAGTAAACTTCCTTTGTTCAATTGTTTTGTCCCGAGTATAACTTGTACTTGCGTTTAAAATTGGTTCATGATTAAACTTGGTGTATTCATTTATCAAACAGATAGATGTGTCTGTACCATGCTAAGTCAGGCACCAACCCCTTAATTACAGAATTATTGCCCATTGATAACATTTTGTTTCCAATTAAATTGATTTTGGGAAGCATTTATCAGATTCACCATATAATTTTGTTTTAAGCTCTTTCATTTGATGTGAAAGTCCATTATTATAGTGTTAGAAATGTGTTTGTTTGTCATGTCCCATACAAGGCATTGCTTTCAAATGAATTTTCATATATTTATAATCTCTCAACCGAAAGAAGGTTTTTATTTTTGTCAGTCATAGTGTCATTACATCAAATTTTACACCTAATGAGATTCTATTTGGCATAGAAGGGAGGACATTTATGTTCTATAGTCATTTTCTAATTGAGTAAAGTGGCAAAATGAATGAATAATAAAGGTCATTAAGATCAGACAGATTAATGTAATGATAATTAAGACATGGTTAAATGTGATGACTAGACTAATTTTGGAAGTCATGAAAATTGGCAACATCCACATTAATAGCTTGTTAGATGAAATATGTTTACAAACATCTTTATTTTGATATCAGGTTTGTGATTAATGTCCATTTGATCTGCTTGATGTGAACCCCTTTAGACTTGTGAGAGGAGATATTGGTGATGTAGGGCAGAACTGTTCTACAGTTTATATCCTGGTGATATATGATGTACAAATCATAAAGTATTTAATCTATTGATATTATTCATATTAGAAATCAAAGCTGGAGAGACAGGTTGTGCTGGTATACCCAATGGGTGTACAGACATGTCTACCTGTAATAGTGGTACATGTACCTGTATTGCCAACTATTATGATGGTGGTGACACCTGTGTAGCAAGTAAGTGTGTAGTACAGCTGCACTAACACCGAGGGAGGGTGCTTCCTATGAGATTATAAAAATGCTTCAACTAATATCAAAGAAATGTATTGAGTATTTAAACCTTTAACACAACACTTGACTGTTGTCTATGGAGGCATGGTGGTCAAGTGGTAGGACATTGGACTGGTGATCGAAGGATTGCTCGTTTGACTCCAGAGAATGAACACTGTGTTAGATAATTCATGCTTTGTTCTTTCTGATGGAGAATAGAGATTAATGGGCAGTACTAGAAATATGGTATGCTAGTTGTAAGCATGGAATGGCAACTCTTACTGTGTGCTTCCCAGAGGGTTGAGAAAGGTTATTTCTTGTAGCAAAAAACCTGCTACCCACAGATGATAATTTGTGAAAGGCTTTGAGACAATTGTTGCTAAGATGGAGTAGTTTATTAAGGAAGCTTGAGTTATTATTAACATGATCTTACATAGATATCATTATAATATTGTGTCTGGACCAATTCTAAATTGGAAGACAACTTGTGAAGACTAATTACATTCTGGATTGTAAAAAATCATTAATATGAATGTTCTTTAAAATGACACGTTTTACTGAAAATGTCCCATTTCTGTTAGAGCTTAGTTGCCACTGGCGTATTAAAAGGACTATCAAATACACTAAAAGGTAGCCAAGAGTAATTCTATTGACCTCAAGGTATTTTAAAGTAAAAGAGAAAGATATCAATTTGTTTATTTGACCTTTCCACATTTGAGTCATTGATTTGTTTGTGATGTCATAATGTAATCAATTCATCCATTCTGTTCATATTCAATGGGAGATAATATTATGTTTGTTAAAAAGGAATTTGAAAACCTGGAAGATCCAAAGTGTTGAAATGGGGGCAGCAAATCTATTCTGGTGTCTCCAACGTTTCCTTAGTAGAATTCATAGAAGAAATATAAAAGATGTTAATTCTGCAGGCCCAGGAACCAGTCTTAATCACTTTCTATGATCATGCAGTGGAGTACAGCAAGCTACATTAGCTAGGATTCTCTATTGTATCTCAACAGAAAACATAAGACAAACCATCCCCTATCATCAGGGCCATAGGTAGTCACAGGTTATGCACTGAGATATAACAGGGATATTCTTTCCTCTCCTCCTGCACATGTCATCTGTCATGAGATGCATCATATTAAGGAATATGGAGCCTGATGGATTTGCAGAAGTCCATAGAACATTATTAGTTTTGACAGGAACAAAATAGTTTTGATATGTTTCTCCATAAGGCAGTATATGATTCACATATGTAAGTGATCCATTACCATGTAAATATATTCTGTATCTACTTGCTAGTAATCAGCAAAGCTCTACCAGTGTTTGTGTGGCAGGATTCTTTATAGATAGGACATCATGTTTTCTCTAACTTCGTTAATAGGGCTGGCCGATATAATCATTGGCCCTCATAATCATAAGATGTGTTAGTTCATAAGTCATACTATTTAACACAGTTTAACTTGAGAAGATTATTCTAATTAGTACTAACCTAACATAGGTGATATATAACTAGTGTAAAATAGTAGTACACAGTTATAACAAACATGATTGAAAAAATATCATGGACATAACATACTGTTTTTTACTGACAAATGCTTTACTAAAATATTACTTGTGAAAATTGTAATCCACAATAAATTGTGAGGACCTCACACTTCATTTCTACACTGTAATTTTGATATGTTTCATTTGAAAAGAGGAATTATTTTGCTGATTGGAAAAGTAAAAGAATGTTGTGGTAACTTTTGAAGAGGAGTTGTTTCCCCTTTTTGTGTAAGCATTAACTGTTGACCTTGTTTAATGTCAAATAACTGTGGATAAGATCCATACATTGGTGCACATAGGTTATTCCCGGTGATTAAATCTCTTTGATACTGCTTTCGTATTTATATCTGATGTAATTATGATATAGAGATTATGTTTACTGTGATGTACATTGTACCTGTTCTGTTTAACCAGAGGTTGTAGCCAATGGTAATTGTGCTGGTTTACCTACTGATGCATGTCGGGAAAACTCTGTCTGTACCAATAATAAGTGTACCTGTAACACTGGTTACTATGACAATGATGGCAGTGGAAGTTCTGGTGTCTGTGTGCAAAGTAAGTTATTAATCTCATAGAATTTTAGGATGAAAGCAAAGCCTTCCTCATGACGATTCATTTGTGATCCCAACAGTCAATGACTGGAAGGGTATATTTGTCAGTCTGCGTCACGATTTCTGAACAATTACTGGTGGTTCCTTTTTGGACTGATCAAACTGAATCATCATAAACTACTTTCTTTTCAGGATTGCTTGCTTTGAATTGCTCTAAATGGTGGTGTCCTGAAGGTTGAATGGTCCCAATCACCATCGCTGAACAATAACGCAAATTCAAGACGACCAATCAAACTGAAACTTGACAACACTGCTCTCTTATGAGTTGTGCTCACTTTGTATTGGTTTTTGGGTCAAAATGTGAGAGGTCAATATTACTGTTACAATGAATTGAAAATAAGTTTCTTTGGTATATTTACCCATTTATTTATCAGAATCAATTGACTGAAAAAATCCAGAACTTCACAAAGTGCTACGTTACTGCCAAGGCTTGCTTGGGGTTGCTTAATTATAAGAGCATTGCCCTTTCTTAAAATTGTATGTCTGCAGCATATGTTTGCTTGCATTTAAATTGGGACATACAAAGAGGATGTGCGGTACTGTACCAAAGTCAGGGCCCATAACCTCTAAATTACTTAGGTAATGCCCTTTGTTAAAATTTTATGTTCAAAGCATAACTGTGGATGCATAAACATTGGTCATGCAATACAATGTGCAGTGTACCGATCAGGGTCTGTAATCCTTTAAATACAAAGTAAACTTCCTTTGTTCAATTGTTTTGTCCCGAGTATAACTTTACTTGCGTTTAAAATTGGTATGATTAAACTTGGTGTATTCCTTTATCAAACAGGCGAGATGTGCAGGGTACCAAAGTCAGGGCACCAACCCCTTAATTACAGAATTATTGCCCATTGATAACATTTTGTTTCCAATTAAATTGATTTTGGGAAGCATTTATCAGATTCACCGATAATTTTGTTTTAAGCTCTTTCTATTCGATGTGAGGGCATTATTATAGTGTTAGCTGTGTTTGTTTGTCATGTCCCATACAAGGCATTGGTTTCAAATGAATGTCATATATTTATAATCTCTCAACCGATTTGGTTTTTATTTACCTCATAGTGTCATTACATCAAATTTTACACCTAATGAGATTCTGATTAGCATAGAAGGGAGGACATTTATGTTCTATAGTCATTTTCTAATTGAGTAAAGTGGCAAAATGTATGAATAATAAAGGTCATTAAGATCAGACAGATTAATGTAATGATAAGTAAGACATGGTTAAATGCGATGACTAGACTAATTTTGGAAGTCATGAAAATTGGCAACATCCACATTAATAGCTTGTTAGATGAAATATGTTTACAAACATCTTTATTTTGATATCAGGTTTGTGATTAATGTCCATTTGATCTGCTTGATGTGAACCCCTTTAGACTTGTGAGAGGAGATATTGGTGATGTAGGGCAGAACTGTTCTACAGTTTATATCCTTGGTGATATGATGTACAAATCATAAAGTATTTAATCTATTGATATTATTCATATTAGGAATCAAGGCTGGAGAGACAGGTTGTACTGGTGTTATACCCAATGAGTGTACAGACATGTCTACCTGTAATAGTGGTACATGTACCTGTATTGCCAACTATTATGATGGTGGTGACACCTGTGTAGCAAGTAAGTGTGTAGTACAGCTGCACTAACACCGAGGGAGGGTGCTTCCTATGAGATTATAAAAATGCTTCAACTAATATCAAAGAAATGTATTGAGTATTTAAACCTTTAACACAACACTTGACTGTTGTCTATGGAGGCATGGTGGTCAAGTGGTAGGACATTGGACTGGTGATCGAAGGATTGCTCGTTTGACTCCAGAGAATGAACACTGTGTTAGATAATTCATGCTTTGTTCTTTCTGATGGAGAATAGAGATTAATGGGCAGTACTAGAAATATGGTATGCTAGTTGTAAGCATGGAATGGCAACTCTTACTGTGTGCTTCCCAGAGGGTTGAGAAAGGTTATTTCTTGTAGCAAAAAACCTACTACCCACAGATGATAATTTGTGAAAGGCTTTGAGACAATTGTTGCTAAGATGGAGTAGTTTATTAAGGAAGCTTGAGTTATTATTAACATGATCTTTCATAGATATCATTATAATATTGTGTCTGGATCAATTCTAAATTGGAAGACAACTTGTGAAGACTAATTACATTTTGGATTGTAAAAAATCATTAATATGAATGTTCTTTAAAATGACACGTTTTACTGAAAATGTCCCATTTCTGTTAGAGCTTAGTTGCCACTGGCGTATTAAAAGGACTATCAAATACACTAAAAGGTAGCCAAGAGTAATTCTATTGACCTCAAGGTATTTTAAAGTAAAAGAGAAAGATATCAATTTGTTTATTTGACCTTTCCACATTTGAGTCATTGATTTGTTTGTGATGTCATAATGTAATCAATTCATCCATTCTGTTCATATTCAATGGGAGATAATATTATGTTTGTTAAAAAGGAATTTGAAAACCTGGAAGATCCAAAGTGTTGAAATGGGGGCAGCAAATCTATTCTGGTGTCTCCAACGTTTCCTTAGTAGAATTCATAGAAGAAATATAAAAGATGTTAATTCTGCAGGCCCAGGAACCAGTCTCAATCACTTTCTATGATCATGCAGTGGAGTACAGTAAGCTACATTAGCTATGATTCTCTATTGTATCTCAACAGAAAACATAAGACAAACCATCCCCTATCATCAGGGCCATAGGTAGTCACAGGTTATGCACTGAGATATAACAGGGATATTCTTTCCTCTCCTCCTGCACATGTCATCTGTCATGAGATGCATCATATTAAGGAATATGGAGCCTGATGGATTTGCAGAAGTCCATAGAACATTATTAGTTTTGACAGGAACAAAATAGTTTTGATATGTTTCTCCATAAGGCAGTATATGATTCACATATGTAAGTGATCCATTACCATGTAAATATATTCTGTATCTACTTGCTAGTAATCAGCAAAGCTCTACCAGTGTTTGTGTGGCAGGATTCTTTATAGATAGGACATCATGTTTGATCTAACTTCGTTAATAGGGCTGGCCGATATAATCATTGGCCCTCATAATCATAAGATGTGTTAGTTCATAAGTCATACTATTTAACACAGTTTAACTTGAGAAGATTATTCTAATTAGTACTAACCTAACATAGGTGATATATAACTAGTGTAGAATAGTAGTACACAGTTATAACAAACATGATAGAAAAAATATCATGGACATAACATACTGTTTTTTACTGACAAAAGCTTTACTAAAATATTACTTGTGAAAATTGTAATCCACAATAAATTGGGAGGAGCTCACACTTCATTTCTACACTGTAATTTTGATATGTTTCATTTGAAAAGAGGAATTATTTTGCTGATTGGAAAAGTAAAAGAATGTTGTGGTAACTTTTGAAGAGGAGTTGTTTCCCCTTTTTGTGTAAGCAATGACTGTTGACCTTGTTTAATGTCAAATAACTGTGGATAAGATCCATACATTGGTGCACATAGGTTATTCCCGGTGATTAAATCTCTTTGATACTGCTTTCGTATTTATATCTGATGTAATTATGATATAGAGATTATGTTTACTGTGATGTACATTGTACCTGTTCTGTTTAACCAGAGGTTGTAGCCAATGGTAATTGTGCTGGTTTACCTACTGATGCATGTCGGGAAAACTCTGTCTGTACCAATAATAAGTGTACCTGTAACACTGGTTACTATGACAATGATGGCAGTGGAAGTTCTGGTGTCTGTGTGCAAAGTAAGTTATTAATCTCATAGAATTTTAGGATGAAAGCAAAGCCTTCCTCATGACGATTCATTTGTGATCCCAACAGTCAATGACTGGAAGGGTATATTTGTCAGTCTGCGTCACGATTTCTGAACAATTACTGGTGGTTCCTTTTTGGACTGATCAAACTGAATCATCATAAACTACTTTCTTTTCAGGATTGCTTGCTTTGAATTGCTCTAAATGGTGGTGTCCTGAAGGTTGAATGGTCCCAATCACCATCGCTGAACAATAACGCAAATTCAAGACGACCAATCAAACTGAAACTTGACAACACTGCTCTCTTATGAGTTGTGCTCACTTTGTATTGGTTTTTGGGTCAAAATGTGAGAGGTCAATATTACTGTTACAATGAATTGAAAATAAGTTTCTTTGGTATATTTACCCATTTATTTATCAGAATCAATTGACTGAAAAAATCCAGAACTTCACAAAGTGCTACGTTACTGCCAAGGCTTGCTTGGGGTTGCTTAATTATAAGAGCATTGCCCTTTCTTAAAATTGTATGTCTGCAGCATATGTTTGCTTGCATTTAAATTGGGACATACAAAGAGGATGTGCGGTACTGTACCAAAGTCAGGGCCCATAACCTCTAAATTACTTAGGTAATGCCCTTTGTTAAAATTTTATGTTCAAAGCATAACTGTGGATGCATAAACATTGGTCATGCAATACAATGTGCAGTGTACCGATCAGGGTCTGTAATCCTTTAAATACAAAGTAAACTTCCTTTGTTCAATTGTTTTGTCCCGAGTATAACTTTACTTGCGTTTAAAATTGGTATGATTAAACTTGGTGTATTCCTTTATCAAACAGGCGAGATGTGCAGGGTACCAAAGTCAGGGCACCAACCCCTTAATTACAGAATTATTGCCCATTGATAACATTTTGTTTCCAATTAAATTGATTTTGGGAAGCATTTATCAGATTCACCGATAATTTTGTTTTAAGCTCTTTCTATTCGATGTGAGGGCATTATTATAGTGTTAGCTGTGTTTGTTTGTCATGTCCCATACAAGGCATTGGTTTCAAATGAATGTCATATATTTATAATCTCTCAACCGATTTGGTTTTTATTTACCTCATAGTGTCATTACATCAAATTTTACACCTAATGAGATTCTGATTAGCATAGAAGGGAGGACATTTATGTTCTATAGTCATTTTCTAATTGAGTAAAGTGGCAAAATGTATGAATAATAAAGGTCATTAAGATCAGACAGATTAATGTAATGATAAGTAAGACATGGTTAAATGCGATGACTAGACTAATTTTGGAAGTCATGAAAATTGGCAACATCCACATTAATAGCTTGTTAGATGAAATATGTTTACAAACATCTTTATTTTGATATCAGGTTTGTGATTAATGTCCATTTGATCTGCTTGATGTGAACCCCTTTAGACTTGTGAGAGGAGATATTGGTGATGTAGGGCAGAACTGTTCTACAGTTTATATCCTTGGTGATATGATGTACAAATCATAAAGTATTTAATCTATTGATATTATTCATATTAGGAATCAAGGCTGGAGAGACAGGTTGTACTGGTGTTATACCCAATGAGTGTACAGACATGTCTACCTGTAATAGTGGTACATGTACCTGTATTGCCAACTATTATGATGGTGGTGACACCTGTGTAGCAAGTAAGTGTGTAGTACAGCTGCACTAACACCGAGGGAGGGTGCTTCCTATGAGATTATAAAAATGCTTCAACTAATATCAAAGAAATGTATTGAGTATTTAAACCTTTAACACAACACTTGACTGTTGTCTATGGAGGCATGGTGGTCAAGTGGTAGGACATTGGACTGGTGATCGAAGGATTGCTCGTTTGACTCCAGAGAATGAACACTGTGTTAGATAATTCATGCTTTGTTCTTTCTGATGGAGAATAGAGATTAATGGGCAGTACTAGAAATATGGTATGCTAGTTGTAAGCATGGAATGGCAACTCTTACTGTGTGCTTCCCAGAGGGTTGAGAAAGGTTATTTCTTGTAGCAAAAAACCTACTACCCACAGATGATAATTTGTGAAAGGCTTTGAGACAATTGTTGCTAAGATGGAGTAGTTTATTAAGGAAGCTTGAGTTATTATTAACATGATCTTTCATAGATATCATTATAATATTGTGTCTGGATCAATTCTAAATTGGAAGACAACTTGTGAAGACTAATTACATTTTGGATTGTAAAAAATCATTAATATGAATGTTCTTTAAAATGACACGTTTTACTGAAAATGTCCCATTTCTGTTAGAGCTTAGTTGCCACTGGCGTATTAAAAGGACTATCAAATACACTAAAAGGTAGCCAAGAGTAATTCTATTGACCTCAAGGTATTTTAAAGTAAAAGAGAAAGATATCAATTTGTTTATTTGACCTTTCCACATTTGAGTCATTGATTTGTTTGTGATGTCATAATGTAATCAATTCATCCATTCTGTTCATATTCAATGGGAGATAATATTATGTTTGTTAAAAAGGAATTTGAAAACCTGGAAGATCCAAAGTGTTGAAATGGGGGCAGCAAATCTATTCTGGTGTCTCCAACGTTTCCTTAGTAGAATTCATAGAAGAAATATAAAAGATGTTAATTCTGCAGGCCCAGGAACCAGTCTCAATCACTTTCTATGATCATGCAGTGGAGTACAGTAAGCTACATTAGCTATGATTCTCTATTGTATCTCAACAGAAAACATAAGACAAACCATCCCCTATCATCAGGGCCATAGGTAGTCACAGGTTATGCACTGAGATATAACAGGGATATTCTTTCCTCTCCTCCTGCACATGTCATCTGTCATGAGATGCATCATATTAAGGAATATGGAGCCTGATGGATTTGCAGAAGTCCATAGAACATTATTAGTTTTGACAGGAACAAAATAGTTTTGATATGTTTCTCCATAAGGCAGTATATGATTCACATATGTAAGTGATCCATTACCATGTAAATATATTCTGTATCTACTTGCTAGTAATCAGCAAAGCTCTACCAGTGTTTGTGTGGCAGGATTCTTTATAGATAGGACATCATGTTTGATCTAACTTCGTTAATAGGGCTGGCCGATATAATCATTGGCCCTCATAATCATAAGATGTGTTAGTTCATAAGTCATACTATTTAACACAGTTTAACTTGAGAAGATTATTCTAATTAGTACTAACCTAACATAGGTGATATATAACTAGTGTAGAATAGTAGTACACAGTTATAACAAACATGATAGAAAAAATATCATGGACATAACATACTGTTTTTTACTGACAAAAGCTTTACTAAAATATTACTTGTGAAAATTGTAATCCACAATAAATTGGGAGGAGCTCACACTTCATTTCTACACTGTAATTTTGATATGTTTCATTTGAAAAGAGGAATTATTTTGCTGATTGGAAAAGTAAAAGAATGTTGTGGTAACTTTTGAAGAGGAGTTGTTTCCCCTTTTTGTGTAAGCAATGACTGTTGACCTTGTTTAATGTCAAATAACTGTGGATAAGATCCATACATTGGTGCACATAGGTTATTCCCGGTGATTAAATCTCTTTGATACTGCTTTCGTATTTATATCTGATGTAATTATGATATAGAGATTATGTTTACTGTGATGTACATTGTACCTGTTCTGTTTAACCAGAGGTTGTAGCCAATGGTAATTGTGCTGGTTTACCTACTGATGCATGTCGGGAAAACTCTGTCTGTACCAATAATAAGTGTACCTGTAACACTGGTTACTATGACAATGATGGCAGTGGAAGTTCTGGTGTCTGTGTGCAAAGTAAGTTATTAATCTCATAGAATTTTAGGATGAAAGCAAAGCCTTCCTCATGACGATTCATTTGTGATCCCAACAGTCAATGACTGGAAGGGTATATTTGTCAGTCTGCGTCACGATTTCTGAACAATTACTGGTGGTTCCTTTTTGGACTGATCAAACTGAATCATCATAAACTACTTTCTTTTCAGGATTGCTTGCTTTGAATTGCTCTAAATGGTGGTGTCCTGAAGGTTGAATGGTCCCAATCACCATCGCTGAACAATAACGCAAATTCAAGACGACCAATCAAACTGAAACTTGACAACACTGCTCTCTTATGAGTTGTGCTCACTTTGTATTGGTTTTTGGGTCAAAATGTGAGAGGTCAATATTACTGTTACAATGAATTGAAAATAAGTTTCTTTGGTATATTTACCCATTTATTTATCAGAATCAATTGACTGAAAAAATCCAGAACTTCACAAAGTGCTACGTTACTGCCAAGGCTTGCTTGGGGTTGCTTAATTATAAGAGCATTGCCCTTTCTTAAAATTGTATGTCTGCAGCATATGTTTGCTTGCATTTAAATTGGGACATACAAAGAGGATGTGCGGTACTGTACCAAAGTCAGGGCCCATAACCTCTAAATTACTTAGGTAATGCCCTTTGTTAAAATTTTATGTTCAAAGCATAACTGTGGATGCATAAACATTGGTCATGCAATACAATGTGCAGTGTACCGATCAGGGTCTGTAATCCTTTAAATACAAAGTAAACTTCCTTTGTTCAATTGTTTTGTCCCGAGTATAACTTTACTTGCGTTTAAAATTGGTATGATTAAACTTGGTGTATTCCTTTATCAAACAGGCGAGATGTGCAGGGTACCAAAGTCAGGGCACCAACCCCTTAATTACAGAATTATTGCCCATTGATAACATTTTGTTTCCAATTAAATTGATTTTGGGAAGCATTTATCAGATTCACCGATAATTTTGTTTTAAGCTCTTTCTATTCGATGTGAGGGCATTATTATAGTGTTAGCTGTGTTTGTTTGTCATGTCCCATACAAGGCATTGGTTTCAAATGAATGTCATATATTTATAATCTCTCAACCGATTTGGTTTTTATTTACCTCATAGTGTCATTACATCAAATTTTACACCTAATGAGATTCTGATTAGCATAGAAGGGAGGACATTTATGTTCTATAGTCATTTTCTAATTGAGTAAAGTGGCAAAATGTATGAATAATAAAGGTCATTAAGATCAGACAGATTAATGTAATGATAAGTAAGACATGGTTAAATGCGATGACTAGACTAATTTTGGAAGTCATGAAAATTGGCAACATCCACATTAATAGCTTGTTAGATGAAATATGTTTACAAACATCTTTATTTTGATATCAGGTTTGTGATTAATGTCCATTTGATCTGCTTGATGTGAACCCCTTTAGACTTGTGAGAGGAGATATTGGTGATGTAGGGCAGAACTGTTCTACAGTTTATATCCTTGGTGATATGATGTACAAATCATAAAGTATTTAATCTATTGATATTATTCATATTAGGAATCAAGGCTGGAGAGACAGGTTGTACTGGTGTTATACCCAATGAGTGTACAGACATGTCTACCTGTAATAGTGGTACATGTACCTGTATTGCCAACTATTATGATGGTGGTGACACCTGTGTAGCAAGTAAGTGTGTAGTACAGCTGCACTAACACCGAGGGAGGGTGCTTCCTATGAGATTATAAAAATGCTTCAACTAATATCAAAGAAATGTATTGAGTATTTAAACCTTTAACACAACACTTGACTGTTGTCTATGGAGGCATGGTGGTCAAGTGGTAGGACATTGGACTGGTGATCGAAGGATTGCTCGTTTGACTCCAGAGAATGAACACTGTGTTAGATAATTCATGCTTTGTTCTTTCTGATGGAGAATAGAGATTAATGGGCAGTACTAGAAATATGGTATGCTAGTTGTAAGCATGGAATGGCAACTCTTACTGTGTGCTTCCCAGAGGGTTGAGAAAGGTTATTTCTTGTAGCAAAAAACCTACTACCCACAGATGATAATTTGTGAAAGGCTTTGAGACAATTGTTGCTAAGATGGAGTAGTTTATTAAGGAAGCTTGAGTTATTATTAACATGATCTTTCATAGATATCATTATAATATTGTGTCTGGATCAATTCTAAATTGGAAGACAACTTGTGAAGACTAATTACATTTTGGATTGTAAAAAATCATTAATATGAATGTTCTTTAAAATGACACGTTTTACTGAAAATGTCCCATTTCTGTTAGAGCTTAGTTGCCACTGGCGTATTAAAAGGACTATCAAATACACTAAAAGGTAGCCAAGAGTAATTCTATTGACCTCAAGGTATTTTAAAGTAAAAGAGAAAGATATCAATTTGTTTATTTGACCTTTCCACATTTGAGTCATTGATTTGTTTGTGATGTCATAATGTAATCAATTCATCCATTCTGTTCATATTCAATGGGAGATAATATTATGTTTGTTAAAAAGGAATTTGAAAACCTGGAAGATCCAAAGTGTTGAAATGGGGGCAGCAAATCTATTCTGGTGTCTCCAACGTTTCCTTAGTAGAATTCATAGAAGAAATATAAAAGATGTTAATTCTGCAGGCCCAGGAACCAGTCTCAATCACTTTCTATGATCATGCAGTGGAGTACAGTAAGCTACATTAGCTATGATTCTCTATTGTATCTCAACAGAAAACATAAGACAAACCATCCCCTATCATCAGGGCCATAGGTAGTCACAGGTTATGCACTGAGATATAACAGGGATATTCTTTCCTCTCCTCCTGCACATGTCATCTGTCATGAGATGCATCATATTAAGGAATATGGAGCCTGATGGATTTGCAGAAGTCCATAGAACATTATTAGTTTTGACAGGAACAAAATAGTTTTGATATGTTTCTCCATAAGGCAGTATATGATTCACATATGTAAGTGATCCATTACCATGTAAATATATTCTGTATCTACTTGCTAGTAATCAGCAAAGCTCTACCAGTGTTTGTGTGGCAGGATTCTTTATAGATAGGACATCATGTTTGATCTAACTTCGTTAATAGGGCTGGCCGATATAATCATTGGCCCTCATAATCATAAGATGTGTTAGTTCATAAGTCATACTATTTAACACAGTTTAACTTGAGAAGATTATTCTAATTAGTACTAACCTAACATAGGTGATATATAACTAGTGTAGAATAGTAGTACACAGTTATAACAAACATGATAGAAAAAATATCATGGACATAACATACTGTTTTTTACTGACAAAAGCTTTACTAAAATATTACTTGTGAAAATTGTAATCCACAATAAATTGGGAGGAGCTCACACTTCATTTCTACACTGTAATTTTGATATGTTTCATTTGAAAAGAGGAATTATTTTGCTGATTGGAAAAGTAAAAGAATGTTGTGGTAACTTTTGAAGAGGAGTTGTTTCCCCTTTTTGTGTAAGCAATGACTGTTGACCTTGTTTAATGTCAAATAACTGTGGATAAGATCCATACATTGGTGCACATAGGTTATTCCCGGTGATTAAATCTCTTTGATACTGCTTTCGTATTTATATCTGATGTAATTATGATATAGAGATTATGTTTACTGTGATGTACATTGTACCTGTTCTGTTTAACCAGAGGTTGTAGCCAATGGTAATTGTGCTGGTTTACCTACTGATGCATGTCGGGAAAACTCTGTCTGTACCAATAATAAGTGTACCTGTAACACTGGTTACTATGACAATGATGGCAGTGGAAGTTCTGGTGTCTGTGTGCAAAGTAAGTTATTAATCTCATAGAATTTTAGGATGAAAGCAAAGCCTTCCTCATGACGATTCATTTGTGATCCCAACAGTCAATGACTGGAAGGGTATATTTGTCAGTCTGCGTCACGATTTCTGAACAATTACTGGTGGTTCCTTTTTGGACTGATCAAACTGAATCATCATAAACTACTTTCTTTTCAGGATTGCTTGCTTTGAATTGCTCTAAATGGTGGTGTCCTGAAGGTTGAATGGTCCCAATCACCATCGCTGAACAATAACGCAAATTCAAGACGACCAATCAAACTGAAACTTGACAACACTGCTCTCTTATGAGTTGTGCTCACTTTGTATTGGTTTTTGGGTCAAAATGTGAGAGGTCAATATTACTGTTACAATGAATTGAAAATAAGTTTCTTTGGTATATTTACCCATTTATTTATCAGAATCAATTGACTGAAAAAATCCAGAACTTCACAAAGTGCTACGTTACTGCCAAGGCTTGCTTGGGGTTGCTTAATTATAAGAGCATTGCCCTTTCTTAAAATTGTATGTCTGCAGCATATGTTTGCTTGCATTTAAATTGGGACATACAAAGAGGATGTGCGGTACTGTACCAAAGTCAGGGCCCATAACCTCTAAATTACTTAGGTAATGCCCTTTGTTAAAATTTTATGTTCAAAGCATAACTGTGGATGCATAAACATTGGTCATGCAATACAATGTGCAGTGTACCGATCAGGGTCTGTAATCCTTTAAATACAAAGTAAACTTCCTTTGTTCAATTGTTTTGTCCCGAGTATAACTTTACTTGCGTTTAAAATTGGTATGATTAAACTTGGTGTATTCCTTTATCAAACAGGCGAGATGTGCAGGGTACCAAAGTCAGGGCACCAACCCCTTAATTACAGAATTATTGCCCATTGATAACATTTTGTTTCCAATTAAATTGATTTTGGGAAGCATTTATCAGATTCACCGATAATTTTGTTTTAAGCTCTTTCTATTCGATGTGAGGGCATTATTATAGTGTTAGCTGTGTTTGTTTGTCATGTCCCATACAAGGCATTGGTTTCAAATGAATGTCATATATTTATAATCTCTCAACCGATTTGGTTTTTATTTACCTCATAGTGTCATTACATCAAATTTTACACCTAATGAGATTCTGATTAGCATAGAAGGGAGGACATTTATGTTCAATAGTCATTTTCTAATTGAGTAAAGTGGCAAAATGTATGAATAATAAAGGTCATTAAGATCAGACAGATTAATGTAATGATAAGTAAGACATGGTTAAATGTGATGACTAGACTAATTTTGGAAGTCATGAAAATTGGCAACATCCACATTAATAGCTTGTTAGATGAAATATGTTTACAAACATCTTTATTTTGATATCAGGTTTGTGATTAATGTCCATTTGATCTGCTTGATGTGAACCCCTTTAGACTTGTGAGAGGAGATATTGGTGATGTAGGGCAGAACTGTTCTACAGTTTATATCCTTGGTGATATGATGTACAAATCATAAAGTATTTAATCTATTGATATTATTCATATTAGGAATCAAGGCTGGAGAGACAGGTTGTACTGGTGTTATACCCAATGAGTGTACAGACATGTCTACCTGTAATAGTGGTACATGTACCTGTATTGCCAACTATTATGATGGTGGTGACACCTGTGTAGCAAGTAAGTGTGTAGTACAGCTGCACTAACACCGAGGGAGGGTGCTTCCTATGAGATTATAAAAATGCTTCAACTAATATCAAAGAAATGTATTGAGTATTTAAACCTTTAACACAACACTTGACTGTTGTCTATGGAGGCATGGTGGTCAAGTGGTAGGACATTGGACTGGTGATTGAAGGATTGCTCGTTTGACTCCAGAGAATGAACACTGTGTTAGATAATTCATGCTTTGTTCTTTCTGATGGAGAATAGAGATTAATGGGCAGTACTAGAAATATGGTATGCTAGTTGTAAGCATGGAATGGCAACTCTTACTGTGTGCTTCCCAGAGGGTTGAGAAAGGTTATTTCTTGTAGCAAAAAACCTACTACCCACAGATGATAATTTGTGAAAGGCTTTGAGACAATTGTTGCTAAGATGGAGTAGTTTATTAAGGAAGCTTGAGTTATTATTAACATGATCTTTCATAGATATCATTATAATATTGTGTCTGGATCAATTCTAAATTGGAAGACAACTTGTGAAGACTAATTACATTTTGGATTGTAAAAAATCATTAATATGAATGTTCTTTAAAATGACACGTTTTACTGAAAATGTCCCATTTCTGTTAGAGCTTAGTTGCCACTGGCGTATTAAAAGGACTATCAAATACACTAAAAGGTAGCCAAGAGTAATTCTATTGACCTCAAGGTATTTTAAAGTAAAAGAGAAAGATATCAATTTGTTTATTTGACCTTTCCACATTTGAGTCATTGATTTGTTTGTGATGTCATAATGTAATCAATTCATCCATTCTGTTCATATTCAATGGGAGATAATATTATGTTTGTTAAGAAGGAATTTGAAAACCTGGAAGATCCAAAGTGTTGAAATGGGGGCAGCAAATCTATTCTGGTGTCTCCAACGTTTCCTTAGTAGAATTCATAGAAGAAATATAAAAGATGTTAATTCTGCAGGCCCAGGAACCAGTCTCAATCACTTTCTATGATCATGCAGTGGAGTACAGTAAGCTACATTAGCTATGATTCTCTATTGTATCTCAACAGAAAACATAAGACAAACCATCCCCTATCATCAGGGCCATAGGTAGTCACAGGTTATGCACTGAGATATAACAGGGATATTCTTTCCTCTCCTCCTGCACATGTCATCTGTCATGAGATGCATCATATTAAGGAATATGGAGCCTGATGGATTTGCAGAAGTCCATAGAACATTATTAGTTTTGACAGGAACAAAATAGTTTTGATATGTTTCTCCATAAGGCAGTATATGATTCACATATGTAAGTGATCCATTACCATGTAAATATATTCTGTATCTACTTGCTAGTAATCAGCAAAGCTCTACCAGTGTTTGTGTGGCAGGATTCTTTATAGATAGGACATCATGTTTTATCTAACTTCGTTAATAGGGCTGGCCGATATAATCATTGGCCCTCATAATCATAAGATGTGTTAGTTCGTAAGTCATACTATTTAACACAGTTTAACTTGAGAAGATTATTCTAATTAGTACTAACCTAACATAGGTGATATATAACTAGTGTAAAATAGTAGTACACAGTTATAACAAACATGATAGAAAAAATATCATGGACATAACATACTGTTTTAACTGACAAAAGCTTTACTAAAATATTACTTGTGAAAATTGTAATCCACAATAAATTGGGAGGACCTCACACTTCATTTCTACACTGTAATTTTGATATGTTTCATTTGAAAAGAGGAATTATTTTGCTGATTGGAAAAGTAAAAGAATGTTGTGGTAACTTTTGAAGAGGAGTTTTCCCTCTTTTTTTTGTAAGCAATAATTGTTGACCTTGTTTAATGTCAAATAACTGTGGATAAGATCCAAACATTGGTGCACATAGCTTATTCCCGGTGATTAAATCTCTTTGTTACTGCTTTCATATTTACATCTGATGTAATTATGATATAGAGATTATGTTTACTGTGATGTACATTGTACCTGTTCTGTTTAACCAGAGGTTGTAGCCAATGGTAATTGTACTGGATTACCTACTGATGCATGTCAGGAAAACTCTGTCTGTACCAATAATAAGTGTACCTGTAACATTGGTTACTATGACAATGATGGCAGTGGAAGTTCTGGTGTCTGTGTGCAAAGTAAGTTATTAATCTCATAGAATTTTAGGATGAAAGCAAAGCCTTCCTCATGACGATTCATTTGTGATCCCAACAGTCAATGACTGGAAGGGTATATTTGTCTGTCTGCTTCACGATTTCTGAACAATTACTGGTGGTTCCTTTTTGGACTGATCAAACTGAATCATCATATACTACTTTCTTTTCAGGATTGCTTGCTTTGAATTGCTCTAAATGGTGGTGTTCTGAAGGTTGAATGGTCCCAATAACCATCGCTGAACAATAACGCAAATTCAAGACGACCAATCAAACTGAAACTTGACAACACTGCTCTCTTATGAGTTGTGCTCGCTTTGTATTGGTTTTTGGGTCAAAATGTGAGAGGTCAATATTACTGTTACAATAAATTAAAAATAAGTTTCTTTGGTATATTTACCCATTAAAATCCAGAACTTCCTGATGATGATCCATTTGTGATCTACTCTTGATATGTTTAAAAGTGTTCTCTTCCTGATGGAAAAGGATCAAAAATTGTTTTGTCCTGAAAATTTTTTGTTAAGCTTTCATCAGCTGAAGCTCTGTTTTCTTTTCAGGAGTGGTCATTTGTCGGGTCAAAAAAGTAAAGTCAAGGTCACTGTTACTATAAATAAAAATGTTAGGTGACTTTTTTTCGAAGTTTATAACTGTACCTAGAGACTTTATTCTCTTTATTGCTTTAGTTGTGCATGGTTTATTTTTGAAAAAAAAAGCCCAACACGAACAATCTCGGATTTTGAAAGTAGGCATTATGCTATCAGTATGTTTAGCTCACTTGGTTGTGTAACTATAACGTCCATCCATTGACATCATGGTTCTTTGGACGAAGCTCAATAAAATTTCCAAAAGAAATGACTTTGACCTGTAATGAAAGTTAAAATTGTCAATTTTATTTAAACCGTCTATCTACCACTTATCAATAACCATTTGGTCTAGAATCAAGATATTTAATTCAAAATTCCATATTTACTGTCACAAGGGTCAAACTTGTCAAGACTTTTAAATCACATCTTCCCATTAAAACAAAATGCTTAGAATCTGATATCTGGTTGGTACATTCCTGGGAAACCTGACTTAGTCTGTGTAAAGAAAATGCCTAAATACACATTCAATGTCACAGGTGTCAAAATTGTTTAGACCATCAAGTGACATAATCCTCTGATTAATCGAAAGACCTAAAATCATATTTTAGCTGCCAGGTTCCTAAGATAAAGTTTGTGAAAAGAAATGACCTTAATGTCAACCTATACTCAAGGTGACAGGGCTAAATTTTGTTAAAACCTTGAAATTGCATCTTCTCAATAACCAAGATTTTGCATGTAAACATGATTGTATGACCAGCTGTTTTTCCTGGTTCTGAGGACATAGTAGAGTTACAATTTGATTAATTTCCCTGTAGATCACAAA